TTGATATGCGAACCGTAAAACGACAGTGGGCGCCGTTGAGTCCTGGGGGGCGGGGGGAGGTGGCACCAATTTTTTCCAGACAGGAGAATTCTTTTCTGTTCGCAATGAATTCTCAACGCCATTGCTCGCGCACTCACCCCGCCCGCCCGCCCGCAACTGTGCTTGCAAAGCCCATGCGGGGCGATTGCGATGGCTGCCTGGCGCTTTTTTGGCGCGCCGCTGCGGCCGCACCTGCGCGCGCAGGCTCGCGTGCAGAGCTGCCGGCCAGTCTGGCGCGACGGATGCGTCCGCGGTGGCGTCGGCCGCTGGGGCTTCCCAGCGCGTCTTGCAGGCCGCGCTGACGCGCGGACGCGTCAGTGCGAGTCGGCGACTCGGGCGGGCGCGGTACCATGGCGACGTCGGCCACGATGGACGCAATGATGGTGGTAGCGATGCTGGTGACGATGGCGGCGATGGCAACGGTGAGGGCATTAGCGGCGCTAGTGCTGATCATGCCCACGACGGTGATGGTGTCTTCGCATCGGCGATGAAGGTTTTGGGGAGATTTCCGCGCGTGGCCCGCGTGGTGTTGATTATTTGACAGGGATCGTGCCTCTTACCCCACCCGCACGCACGCAAGGGCGTTCGAATGATTTTCGGCATGCGCGCGTGAGAGGCCCGCCCAGTCGCATTTGATGCAAGCTTATCAGACATTTTGAGTTTTTAAGAGGATTTGAAAGAACGCGCGCGTTTTTTGGTTGAGAATTCGCGTTGCCAGCTTGCAAGAAGACAACACACTGTTTCGGGGCATTCGGAGGAAGGGCGTGTCGACAACCAGACAGCTCGGAATGGTATGAATTCATATTTTGGCAGGGCGAGTGTGCAGGGTCATATGGGACAGGCATAGCGAACAGGTGGCCCGTCAACCCTGGGGTTAGTAGGTGGGTAATAGATCCCATTTTTTCGGAACAGGGACATCTATGTGGTGCAATGAGCTTTATTCGGAATGAGGTGTCGACTCCACTGTTCGTGCACTCGTCCCACCCGCCCACCCGCAACTTGGTCTGCAAAACTAATGCGGCGGCGATTGCGATGGCTGCCTGGCGCTGGCTGGTGCATCGCTGCGGCAGCGCTAGTGCGCACAGGCTCGCGCGCAGGGCGCCTAGAAATCTGGCGGGACGGACGCGGCCGCGGTGGCGTTGACCGCTGGGGATGTTCCAGCGCGTCTGGCAGGCTGCGCTGACGCGCGGGCACATCAGTGCGAGTCGGTGGCTCGGGCGGGGGATCGCCCCACACGGCCCAATAGGTTTCAAAAGCGCCGAAGAGGCGTCCACGACGGCCCGAGAGGGCCCCAACCGCGGCCCAGGATCGGGAACGTGAGCCGGGAACCCGAGATCTTCGCCGCAGGAGAGCCCCAGGAGGTTCAAGATATCCCCAAGAAGCCCCAAAGAGGCCCAAAAGAGCCTCGAGAGAGGCCCCGAGTGCACTTGGGGAAAAAAGGGAGTTCCAACATTTTTTGTTCAAAGTTCGCCTGGCAGTTTCGCTATGCTTGCAAAGCAGGAAATCTAATATTTCATCCTTCTCCTCTTCCTCCTCCTCCTCCGGTTCCTCCTCCTCTGCGGCCCTCTCAACCTTCTCCAATTCCTCCTCATCCTCCTTCTCCCTCTCCCCCAGGGAACCCCCTCACCTCCCCTGCTCCTCTTCCTCCGGTGGCAACGTCCAGCCGCGGCGAATAAAAGGGACCCCAAAGTGTCTTTTTGGTCCTGTCTTAAGACGTCGTGGATGGACCGTAGGAAGTCTTGGAAACCACTTGGGCCGTCTTCGTGGTTATTGGAAGTCCCGGAAAAGAAATGTCATGTAATAGAGGCCCCCAAGAGTTCGACCACCCAGCCTTGGTAGAACTTAGGCGCGTGCGAAGCGAGTGCGATGGTTCTGGTTCTGGTTATATACATATATATATATATGTATACATATATATATATATACATATATATATATATCTGCTTCACCACATGTATTCACCTCATATTTTGCCCCACGGTGTACACCATATGTTGCTAGAAACAGTGCTTTGGGGCCCGCGCTGGCTAATACATGTCTGCACATATGGTCGTATGCATGTGTGCATGTATCACGCAGAGAGTTTTACATTTCAATATATAGAGAGGCAGAGGACGACTTATACATAGAGAGCGGGATTTATAAAAGAGAGAGAGAGAGAGAGAGCGAGAGGGATAGAGAGAGAGAGAGAGAAGAGAGGGAGCGAGAGCGAAACAATGAAAGAGAGAAAGAGAGAACAACAGAAAGTGAACGAAAGAGGGATAAAGGGGGTCTTGGGACCTGTCGAGGAGGGGTCTGGATTGTTCGTCGATTTGCACAAGTGCGAGGCTGGAGGCCCAGTGCTGGCGCGCTGTGGTACTTGCGGACAGCGAGGGACAGAGGGAGAGAGAGAGGGAGAGAGAGAGGGAGGGAGAGGGAGAGAAAGAGAGAGAGAGAGAGAGGGACAGAGAGAGAGAGTGCGGACATATTATGTATGTATGTATGTATGTATGTATGTATGTATGTATGTATGTATGTAAAAAATGTTGTTGGAGAGAGAGAGAGAGAGATAACTAGATATTGTAGTGGCCTCCGGCCAGTGCCGCCGATCCGGGGCGCTCCCGACGCTGATGGGAATGGATGACCGTGTATGCTGAAGATATACAGCCTCTTTGGGGACATCTTCATAATATGAACATGTGGAAATCGTTTGCGAAACGTTTGGATCTTCGACAATGACGCTCTCGCGTGAACCACCAGTAAAACCATGAACTGGTGAAATAGCTGTTGCACGCCATCTTTGGGGGGCGCTCTTTGGAGGACCCCCAAGACGTCTGAAGAAGTGAAATTGTCCGTAAAGGCTTCGCCCCCTGCCGCCGGCCCCCTCTCTCGGATAATGGATTTTGCAAGAGCTACATTTTGAGGCCTTGGCGCCGCCGTGAAGCAGCATCGGCAAGAGAAATTGAGATTCTGATGATAGTGTTGAACTCAGTGTTGCATTTTGAACGATGATGATACGCGAATGACGCATACATTGCGAGGGTTTATTGTTTCGGGGTCGCACATGTAGCGTAACTTATGCAGGTTTATGGCTTCGGAGGCGCGAGCATTGCGTAACTGACGAGGGTATCTGGCTTCGGACCCGCAACTATAGCGTAATTCACGATGGTTTATGGCTTCGGGGTCGCACATCTAGCGCAATTTACGCAGGTTTATGGCTTCGGAGACGGGAATATTGTGTGTAATCCAGGAGGGTTTATGGCTTTGGATACGCGAATCTAGCGTTATCTGCAATGGTTTATGGCTTCGGGGACGCGAATAGTAAGTATTTGTCAATGGTTTATTGCATCGGTTCATGGTGTCGGGGACGCGAAGGTTGTGTCATTTGCGAGCTTTTGCGGCCTCGGGGACGCAAGTATTGTATAATTTAGAAGGAACAGTAAGCAGCAAAAAAGCAGAACTGTAACAGTGGAAACTGGAAATTGGAACTGGCGCAGGGAACAGCAAAGCCTGGTCCTACAGCCTGGTGGCCCCACGAGGGGGCCGGCGGATTGAAGATTCATTCGTTTTGCCACATGGTTGTTCAAACGTAAGCGTTTTTGACGATTTTGGAGGCAGTCGTTTGCCTTTTTGGGGGGCGTCTTGGAGGCAACTGGAGGCCTCTTGGGGGCGTCTGGGAGGCAGTTCTTGAGTTTCGTGGGGGTCTTTTGGGACCCTATTGGGGGCCTGTTGGGGGCTAGTTGAAGCCTCTTGAGGCTTCTTGGGGGCCTCTGGGGGCTTCCTGGGGGCCTCTTGGGCTGTCGTGAACTCTTCTTTGGCTGTCTTGGAGCTTTCTTGGGCGGCTCTTGGGCCGTCTTGGGGCTGTCTTGGGCCGTCGGGCTCGTTTCGGGGCCTCTTGGGCCTTGTTTCGGGCCTCTTGGGGGCGTTCTGGATTCTCTTGTTGGCTTTTTGGGGGCCTGTCGGGGCCTCCTGGGAGCGGTAGCCTCTGGAGAACTTTGTGAAAGAGGAGACTTTGATTTTTGGTTCGGGCTCTCCCCCTTGGGCCTTTCCTGGGGCCCTGGTGGAGCCCTCTTGGGCTGGCTTAGGTGCTTCTTGGGCCGTCTTGGCGTTCCCTTTCGCCGTTTTGGAGTCGTCTTGGGAACCTTTTGAGCCGTCTTGACGCGGTCCCGGGAGTTTGTGGGACAGTCGGAAGCGAAGCCCCCCCGCCCCCGAGCGTTGCATGGCGCCGGGAATGGCGTCCCCCCCTCCCCCCTTTGCAGAGCGAACCCTCCCCCCCCTGGCTCCCGAGCACCCCCCTCCCCCAGGCTCCCGAGCACTCACTGACTGGCGTCGGGAATGGCTCCCCCCCCCCTTGCAGAGCGAACCTTCCCCCGGCTCTCGAGCACTGAATGGCGTCGGGAATGGCGTCCCCCCCCCCTTGCAGAGCGCAGAGTGAAGCTTGAGCGAGCTCAAGTCCACGCTACCAGAAACTCACACGCCGGATCGGCGGATAATGAGAGATAGATATTGGGGGGGGAGAGAGAGAGAGAGAGAGAAAAACAAAAAGCCAGAGAAAGAGAGAGAGAGAGAGAAATATATACAGAGAGAGAGAGAGAGCGAGAGAAAAGAGAGAGAGAGAGAGAGAGACAGAGAAAGAGAGAGTGACGTCATTTCTTGGTGTAGTAAACGGATGGGGATTTCCTTTTCCTTCTCGCTTTATTTTCCAGCTGCCTGCGACAAGTCCTGCCACCGTGCCAGCCCAGTGTTCTGGGTGGCGGTTGTTGGAGGGGACATGGGAGGCCTTCGCGTGTGACACCTCGTGACCCCAGGCTTGGGAGAGCCGCGATGCGGATGACGGCTGTCCTGTGGCTGTCTTGGCTTCCCGTGGGGCAATCTTGGGGGTCCCTTGGGGCCGCCTTCGGGCCCTCTTCGGCCGTATTGAGGCTCTGGTAGCTCGTCTTGGGGCTCTTTTGGGACGTCTTAGGGCCCTCTTGGCCATATTAAGAGTGTCTTGGGGCGGACGTGAGCAGTGTGGGACCGTCGAAGAGCTTCTGAGGCCGTATTGGGTGCCTCGTCTTGGATACCTTGTTGGCCATCGTGGGATCCTCGAGGCCCTCTTGGGACGTCTTGGGGCCGTATTGGATGCCTGTTGGGCCATCGTTTGGAGGCTTCTTGAGCCGTCTTGGGACCTGCTTACGCCGTGTTGGGGCTCTCCTGGGCCGGCTCGGGCTCCGTTGGCCGTGTGGTGGCTCACTGGGGGCCGTCGTGGGATTCGAAGGGCCTTCTAAGGCCTTCTTGGGTTTTACGGGAGGCCCTCTTGGGCCGTCTTGGAGCTGTATCGGATGCCTCTTGGACCACCGTGGGGTCCTCTTGGGCCATTTTGGGAGCCTTTTGGGTGCATCTTGGGTCGTCTTGGAGCCATCGTGGAGGCTTGGTGGGCCGTCTTGAGGCTTCGTGGGCCGTCATGCGAAATTCTGTGGGCACTGTGCGCGAATCAAGGTCTTTGGCTTCTTCGGACCCTGTTGGAGGTCCTTTTGTGGCCATCTTGGAGGCGTCTTGGGCCGTCTTGAGGCCATGGGGTCATCCTGGGTCGTCTTCGAGGCATCTTGGGCCACCTTCGTGTTCTTGGTTGCCTGCATGGGCCGTTTGTAAGGTTCGTGACGTTTGTTTATCGTTTTTAGCGAGGGATCGTGGCCTCGGGAACGCATTTTTTACGAGGGAGCGTGGCCTCGGGAGCGAGGGAGATGCATGCGCGAGTCTGCGAGTAGAGCAGGGGGTGGCTCTCACCCTACCAGACAGACCTTCGCATTCTTCCACGCCTCAGCGTGCAAGGGGGCACGGCGGCGGATCCAGTGGCGGAAGTCTGGATTCTGTCTCCTGTCCGATAAAGGGCGCGCAGTTTCATCTCTTTCCGATCCGTGTTTTCTAGCAGATGTGATTTCGACTCATCGATTCGATTGGAGGTGGCGCTGGGGAAGGATGATGATGAAGAGGAGGAGGAGGAGGAGGAGGAGGAGGAGGAGGAGGAGGAGGAGGAGGAGGAGGAGGAGGAGGAGGAGGATGTGGAGGAGGATGAGGAGGGGGCGGAGGAGCAGTGGGAGGTGGAGGCTAGAGGAGGAGGAGGAGGAGGAGGAGGAACAGGAGGAGGAGGAGGAGGAGGAGGAGGAGGAGGAGGAGGAGGACAACTGTAAACCCAAGACTGATCAACGATATTGCGATAAACCCTCCTTCCAAGTTCATTCTTCATAGGCCCCTACAAGGAGTCATTTTCACTGCGGGAAGTGCTTCCTTGGAAGACAACCGTTTGAACATCTTGAGCTGTGCCAGAACATCCTTGGGACTTCAACGCCACCAGTCACCGTTACTGCTGCGTCTTGCCGATCCTGCATCGTGCCAGAACAGCATTCCTGGGACTTCAACGCTGCGAATCGACTTACCTGTTGCGCCCTGACAGGCCAACACCGTGCCAGAGCACAATTGCTGGGACGGTAGCCATGAGAATATTCGAAGCTGCTGCAAACTCGTAAAAAATAAATGTTGCATGAGGCGAGAGACACATTTTGGAAAGGAGCCGCCCACATGTGCGCGGCGCCAAGGCGGGAGCCACACTATGAAAGCGGACCGCCCTCCATCCGTGAAATTTCTGCAAATCATTAACACTAATGTGCGCGACGATAAAAGCGAGAGTTACATTTTGAGAACCACCTGCTCTCCCGCCGCGAAGCTCCTGCACGTTGCAAGCTTCAGGAGCATCACCGGTGAGGAAGTCTCATGCGAGACGCCCGGCCCGCCCTGTCGACGGGCCTCGTGGATGCGACAGGGAGGAGTTGCTCGTGAGCACAGTTGAGTGGGAGGGTGAGGCACGTGGCTGGGATGAGGCCTAGAGGGGGATGAGGCCTCAAGGGCGACGGAGCGTCTGGGAAAGGCGAGTCTGGGCAGAGCAGTCATCAGCAGAGGCGTAGAGCAAGCCGGAGAAATCGCGTGCAGTTGTGCGGGCATTCAGGTCGCCTTCCACGACTTCAAGGACTCGGGCTCGTGGTTTGACTGCTGGTTCCAGTCCGGCGGCGTTCCGCGACCAGTCATTCCGCTGCAGGTCCGCCCATTTTCATCGTGCTGTGCCACCTTCGTCGTGCAGGGCATTTTGTGTATATGCTCAATATGCACTTCAGGGCTTTCGAAACAAGGGCTCCTTGCTTCCCTCGATTCTGGGCGTGCTTGTTATATTCACTGCTTCCTAGATCCAATGGTACCTCTTTGGCGCTGTCTAGGCACCTTGCGTCCGTCCTTCTGGCTATTTGTGATTGTGCCACTCGACCGACCCAGCCTACAGTGCAACACGAGCATAGTACAAGACTGGCTACTTGGTAGAGTGCAGAAGTACTCGCTTTTGCGCCAGCCGAGCGCTGCGAGCGCCAGCGTTTTCCATGGCTTATACAACCGAACCTTCGCTTACAACAAATGCCGCTCTTTGATTCCTACCGTCAGCTGCGTCTGGCTTTTTGGTTCACTGCGCCCGCACCTGTTATACCTGTTCTCACACTCACTACACCGCACCACCAGCATACTGCATCCTGTTTCTTGGGATGTCTCTGTCGCCTTGCATCTTTGAGCTCTCGCACCTCTGCCTTTACATTGTCGTCCCACTTCTTCTTTGAGCCTCCCCTCGACTGGATCCATCAAACCTGCGCAACCCCGCCACTTGGTCTCCGTGCAGCTGGTGTGCGGCCATGGAGGGCATAATGACTGGAGTTCAGATGCCCCCCCTCGGAACCCGCGGGCCGATTGATCTCTGGGATACCCTAGACAGCCACTGCCTTTGTGTCACCGTCGCTTCCGTCGCCGCCATCGTCGACGTCGCCGCCGTCGCCGCTGTCGCCGCCGTCGCCGCCGTCGCCGCCGCCGCCGCCGTCGCCGTCGCCGTCGCCATCGTCGCCGTCTTCGCCGTCGTCGCTGTCGTTGTCGATGTGGTCGCCGCTGCCGCCGCCACCGCTGCCGCCGCCGCCGTTGTCGTCGTCGTCGTCGTCGTCGTCGTCGTCCGTCGTCGTCGTCGTCGTCGTTGTTGTCGTCGTTGTTGTGGTCGTCGTCGTCGCTGGCCTCGTCGCCGGCGTCGACGTCGCCGTCGCCACCGCCGCCGTTTCCGCCGCCATTGCCGTCGTCGCTGTCGTCGCCGTCGTCGTCGTCGTCGTCGTCGCCGTCGTCGTTGTCGTCCTTGTCGTCGTCGTCGCCTTCTCCGTCCTCTCTCCGTCGCCATCGTCGCTGTCTTCGCCGTCGTCGCTGTCGTCGTCGTCGTTGTGGTCGACGCCGCCGCCGCCACCGCTGCCGCCGACGCCGTCGTCGTCGTCGTCGTCGTCGTCGTCGTCGCCGGCCTCGACGTCGCCTTCGCCGTCGCCGTTGCCGCCACCATCGTCGTCGTCGTCGCCGTCCTCGTGTTCGCCGTCGTCGTCGTCGTCCTCGTCGTCGTCGTCGTCGTCGTCGTCGTCGTTGTCGCCGTCGTCGTCGTTGTCGTCGCCGTCGTCGCCGTCGTCGTTGTCGTCGTCGTCGTCGTTGTCGTCGTCCTCGTCGTCGTCTCTGGCCTCGTCGCCGGCCTCGACGTCGCCGTTGCCACCGCCGCCGTTTCCGCCGCCATTGGCGTCGTCGTCGTCGGCCTCGTCGCCTTCGCCGTCGCTGTCGCCGTCGCCATAGTCGCTGTCTTCGGCGTCGTCGCTGTCGTCGTCGTTGTGGTCGTCGCCGCCGCCGCCGCCACCGCCACCGCCGCTGTCGTCGTCGTCGTCGTCGTGGTCGTCGTCGTGGTCGTCGTCGCAGGCCTCGACGTCGCCGTCGCCGCTGCCGCCGCCACCGCCGCCATCGTCGTCGTCGTTGTCGTCGTCGTCGTCGTCGTCGTCGTCGATGTCGTCGTCGTCGTCGTCGTCGTCGTCGTCGTCGTCGTCGTCGTCGTCATCATCGTCGTCGTCGTCGTCGCCGTCGTCGTCGTTGTCGTCGTCGTCGCCGGCGTCGTTGTGGTCGTCGTCGTCGTCGTCGCTGGCCTCGTCGCCAGCCTCGACCGCGTCGTCGCCACCGCCGCCGATTCCGCCGCCATCGTCGTCGTCGTCGTCGTCGTCGTCGTCGTCGCCTTGGCCGTCGCTGTCGCCGTCGCCATCGTCGCTGTCTTCGCCGTCGTCGCTGTCGTCGTCGTTGTGGTTGCCGCCGCCGCCGCCACCGCTGCCGCCGCCGCCGTCGTTGTCATCGTCGTTGTCGTCGTCGTCGTCGTCGCCAGCCTCGACGTCGCCGTCGCCACCGCCGCCGTTTCCGCCGCCATCGTCGTCATCGTCGTTGTCGTCGTCGGCCTCGTCGCCGTCGCCATCGTCGCTGTCTTCGCCGTCGTCGCTGTCGTCGTCGTTGTGGACGTCGCCGCCACCGCCGCTGTCGTCGTCGTCGTCGTCGCTGTCGTCGTCGCAGGCCTCGACGTCGCCGTCGCCGCTGCCGCCACCGCCGCCGCCGTCGCCGTCGCCGTCGCCGTCGTCGTCGTCGGCGTCGTCGGCGTCGTCGGCGTCGTCGTCGCCGCCACCGCCGCCGTCGTCGTCGTCGTCGTCGTCGTCGTCGTCGTCGTCGCCGTCGTCGTCGTCGTCGTCCACGCTGTCGTCGTGGTTGTTGTGGTCGTCGTCGCCGCCGCCACCGCTGCTGCCGCCGCCACCGCCGCCGCCGCCGTCGTCGTCGTCGTCGTCTTCGTCGTCGTCGTCGTCGCTGTCTTCGCCGTCGTCGCTGTCGTCGTCGTTGTGGTCGTCGCCGCCGCCGCCACCGCTACCGCCGCCGCCACCGCTGCCACCGCGGCCGTCGTTCTCGTCGTCGTCGTCGTCGTCGGCGTCGTCGTCGTCGCCGACGCCGCCGTTTCCGCTGCCATTGTCGTCGTCGTTGTCGTCGTCGTTGTTGTCGTCGTTGTGATTGTCGTCGTCCTCCTCCCCCTCCTCGTCGTCGTGGTTTCCCGGACGGCTGGCGGGGCCCGCCGCGCGAGGTCGCCTCCGTCTGACTGCGGGCGAGAGCGCCCGCGTGTCAGCGCCCGCTCGCCCCGGTGGCCCGCGCGCGCGCCGCAGTAGTTCAGGTCCTTCTCTCGGGGGCAACGCGGGGGGTCGCTAATTACGCTCAGGGGGAAGGGGAGCAGGAGGAAGAGGGGAAGGGGGAGGGGGAGGGGAGGGGGAGGAGGAGGAGGAGGAGGATCCGCGAGCCTCAGGAGGAGCCGGTGCCGACCCTCCCGCCGCGGGGGGCCCCCTCGCTGGGTGGGCCCCCCGACCACCGCGGGGGCCCGTCCACGGACAAGGCCCCCGGCCACGGGCCTCCTCAGAGGACCCCGAGGAGCAGCAACTCCTCGCCGTGCACCCAATTCTTGCCGCCCTCGAGGTCCTTGACCTGGGGCGGCTCCAGCGCGAGCAGCAGCCAGCGCACGAAGAAGGCGTCCAGCAGCGCCTCCAGGCACACGATCCCGCCCAGCAGGCGGCGCGGGCGGCGCGCGGCGCGCGTCGCAGCACGGCGCCTCGAGACGAAGCGCTTGGCCTTGATCTGCCGCGCCATCGGGCCGTCTCCAAAGCCACGCGCCGCCACGAGCGCCGCCGCGGGCAGGGAGGGGGCGGTCAGCACCGCGTCCGCCACTTCGAGCATCAGGTGGCTCGCGCCGGAGGCGCCCAGCGGCCGGCCGCCGCGAGGGGCCAGCGCGGGCGGGAGGGGCGGCTCAACCCCGAGGGGGAGCCGCCGCCATTGCTGCCCTTCCTCAGCCTCCACCGCCCGCCACCCCCGGCGCGGGAGGGCGACGGGCGGCGGGCAGGTCCGTGCGGGCCAGGCGCCGGTGGCGTCGGGCAGGGGGCGGCGGGCCTGCGGCCCCGACCCTGAGCCGAGCCGGCTTGAGCCAAATGGCTACGGAGGAGGAGGAGGAGGAGGAGGAGGAGGAGGAGGAGGAGGAGGAGGAGGAGGAGGAGGAGGGAGGAGGGGGAGGAGGAGGAGGAGGAGGAGGAGGAGGGGAGTCGAGGAGGAGGAGGAGGAGGAGGAGGAGGAGGAGGAGGAGTCGAGGAGGAGTCGGAGGAGGAGTCGAGGAGGAGTCGAGGAGGAGTCGAGGAGGAGGAGTCGAAGAGGAGTCGAGAGAGGAGGAGGAGGAGGAGGAGGAGGAGGAGGAGGAGGAGGGAGGAGGAGGAGGAGGAGGGGGGTGGGTGGGGGGGGGGAGAAGGAGGAGGAGGAGAGGAGGAGGAGGAGGAGGAGGAGGAGGAGGAGAGGAGGAGGAGGAGGGAGGAGGGGAGGAGGGTGGGAGGAGAGGGGGGGGGAGAAGGAGGAGGAGGAGGAGGAGGAGGAGGAGGAGTGAGAGGTGGAGGAGGAGGGGAGGGTAGAAGGAGGAGGAAAAGGACAAGGAGGAGGAGGAGGAGGAGGAGGAGGAGGAGGTGAGGATGAGGAGGAGGAGGAGGAGGAGGAGGAGGAGGAGGAGGAGGAGGAGAGTGTTTTTAAGCCTCTGGACCGAAACGCGCGTTATGCCCTCTACCCTCCCCCCCCTCTCCCCTCACACAACGTGACGCTCGCCCCTCCAGTGCGGCCCCGGCCGGCACTGCCGCACTGCGTCCAGCACTACAGTCTGGGGGAGGGGCGCTGCGTTATGCCCCCTCCCGTCGCCCTCCCACTCCCCCCCCCCCGAACGCTCGTTCTGGCTGCGAGTTCAAAAATGCGCTCGGGGGGTTGATAGTTTCGAGGTTTCGGGTTTTTCGGTGGTTCTTGGTAGTTTCCCAGCATCGGAGTGCTGTCCAGTGACTGCGCCACGCCGAGGGCGCTGGGGGGGTGCCCGGATTTGTTCCGAACGGCCGCGGGAGGCCCGAGTTACGGCCCGAAAAACACCAGGTACTGGATTGGGCTCAGGGGGGATATATCCACCCCCATTCGCCCATCGATCGCCGATAGGGGCCCGATAGCCCACCCCGCCCAAGAACGTGCGTATTCGCTATCGGAGGCCTATCGTTCGATGTTCCTACCCCCTGAGCTGGTCCCCCCCATCGTTGCCCCTCCCTGTGGCTGGGCTCCGCGCGAGTGTCGCAGACAGCGGCGCGGAGCGTGCAGACAGCTAGCTTGTGCGGCAGCAATTCATGGAAGCCTCGGGTGTCCTCGTAGTTCCGTCTTGGGGGTGCATCAGCGTGCTCCAGCGCGTGGCAATCGCCGAGGAAGCGCCGGCCGAGTGCCGACTCGGCGCCGATTCGGCGTCGGTTGGAGTCGATCAGCGTCGGCCAGCGTCAATTCGCAAGAACCAGTAGGACGACACGGGTGGCTCCCATGAGTTGTCACAGAAAGCTTAATTGGACGCTGGGGGGGCGCCACCCCTCGGTGGATGCATGATCCGATCTGCGGGAGGCTGCCGCGAGTCCGGTCCCCGACCTTATAGAGCTATAACCTTGTGGACGACGACCAATGAAGAGGAAACATGTTGCCAAATATTTTCCAGATCTAAAACAACGTTTCAAACAAACATGTAAAGATCATGCTTTAACATTGTTAGGACCTTTTCA